TATTAATAACACTGTGCCTCCACTTTTTTAGCAGAAATAACTTTGGGGATTCTATCAAGTTATTAGAAAAGCTTTATTGTACAGGATAATTCTAGTAAACAAATGTTGAGGTCTATTAGACATAGAGTCAGAAGCCATATAAAGCAGCTCCTGGGGAGTAAGAGGCAGGAGGAATGAAAATAATGCGTTTGAGGATTTATCAGGCTAGTATGAATATATACTCCTCTCAAAAGTAATATCCACTCATTGTTCTATTCTGTCCAAAGATTCTTAATTTTAGCAGCTTTATTTACAATAAATAACAATACTAATATTGCTAGTGTTAAACTGTTGGCAGCCCAAATCCCTTGACCATTATCAGTAGAGAAAAACCTGTCTTTTAGCTGCTCTTTGCTTAGATTGGGGTGAGTAATTTTTGTTGGCTGGGGGCTGGCATTTTCTATTAGTTCTACCTGTCAGGGGCTTAAGATATATGGTAGTGACGCAGTAACATTACTAGAATTGTTGGGGGCTAAATTTTCAGCTTGTTTTTTTCAGTGCTTAGATGTTGGGGGAAAGTTTAACATTTAATATAGAGCTTGATTTACCTCTGCAAAAGGAAAAAGTTGACTGTTAAAATCAGTATTTTCCCACTGAATATTGATGGGGTGATCCTGTGCCTATGGGGTGAATACTGGGTGCCTATGTACAGGATGTGGCTTGCTTATTCTTGGTATAAGTGATTTTTTTTTCAAAACAAGTTTGCCGGAAGTTGGTGTGCTTTGTATAGTCTGTTATTTGCTAAAATTAGTTTCTCTAAAGATTGAAATCTTGCCAGCTAAGAAGCTTATTTAGAATGTGCAAAAGTAGGTACAAAAAACAGTCTCTTCTATATTTCTTAGGCTGGTCACTATAACTTAGAAACTTGTCTGAGTGTGGTGCTGCTTTCCCTTGCAATGGTGATGGCAGGCTCTGGGAACCTGAAGGTCCTTCAGCTCTGTCGTTTTCTACACAAGAAGACTGGTGGAGAAATGAACTATGGATTCCATATGGCACACCATATGGCTCTTGGACTCCTCTTTTTGGGAGGGGGAAGGTAATCTGTGATTTGAGAAAGAATCCTCTGGTCCTTAATCCTTTATACTTCCATGCATATAAACATCCAGGATGCAGAATAACTGAAGAATCTAAGAACTCTATGCTGATAACCTTGGTATACAGATAGGCTGCAAGGAAGGATATCTTCATGTCCACAGTACTGTACTGGTTAGTTATACGAATTTGGGATAATCACAGCATTGTGAGAACACCAGTCTTTAGGCTGGCTGTTTCTAAGAAAAGTTCTTTCTGGTTCCTAGGAGGAACAAAAACATGGAAACACTGAAATGGATCTTATAAGGGCATTTTCAGTAGCGGCACTTGTGAAATCCTTTGCTGGCACTTTCCCTGATGGTCTTTCACTGTTTGGTTAAGACTTTACTTAATAAGACTGTGTATAAATTTTATCTGATATTTTAATTTATGTATTCTACCTTCTCACTTTTTATTATGTAATTTTTCTTGGTAATTTTTAAAAACCACATTCCCTTGTATTAGCTCTATTTGTTTTTCATTATGCTGTGTAATCCTAAGTACTAGAAAGGTAGGATATAAATTATTGTATCAAAAAAACAACAATCCTGGAATGCAGAGCAGAACTGAGTGATATTACAGTGGCCTGAAAGTGGAGCTTAGATGATCCAGATTTTTGTATGTGTCTCTGCAGTAGTAATTCCAAATTATTTCAAAAGCTAGTTCCTATATGAAAAATAAAATGTGCAGAGTATGCTTCTGTAAATATTTTAACTAAAGCAAGCCAAACATGGAGAAAAATCTATCTGTGTGGTTGCTAAGAATTGACGACGACTTTATGGCTTATAATCGATTAAAAAAAGCAAGCCAGTGGGGATTGAGCTATTCCTCCATCATAAAGTCCACGTATTTTGCTTGCAAATTTTGAATTTAACCCCTGTCATCCCCAATGAAAAGGCTCTTGGCTAATAGGGCTGAGAAACCCTTTTTCTGTGATGCCTGTTAGATTAACTGGGCATGGTGATTCAGTAACCTTGTAGCTCTTGGTAGCCTTTCATTGTCATAGAACTGATACTAGATTATAGACACTGTAAATTGGGATTGCATTTTGGCTTGATGGAAATGCTTTTTACTATCTCATGAGAAAATACTGTTTCTTTGCAGATACTCACTTAGCACTTCAAATTCATCAATTGCTGCTCTTCTTTGTGCACTCTACCCTCATTTCCCAGTTCACAGTACAGATAACAGGTAAAGAAGCCTGACTAGGCGATATAGTTAAAACCTAATGCTAAAAAAATAGTTTGGCCTCATTTTTGTCATATGGGAAACATCGTTTCACCTTGTAAATATCAGGTGCATGCAAGTTTAAATCTTCATTTAGTAATTGCAGTGATCTAGAGAAAACCTAACAATTTGATACTTCTCTTAGGTCTTCTATTATTTATTTATTTATTTAAATTTATTGGCTGCCCAACTCCATGTTTATCAAATGCTGTGTGGTAAATGAAATATTTTTCAGCATGTGTAAAGAAGACATGGGACAGATTGTAGAAGGAAGACGAAACATGAAGAAGTTTTAAAAGATCATGGAATTAGAAACATCTTAGTTTTTTTCCAAATGCACAGTGCAAACAGAGACAGAATCTAAACAAATGACATGGAAGTTCTACTGTTGGGATAGTCCAATTGAACTGCTGTGTGCCAGACTGGCCAATGATATTCACTAACTCTGAAATTCAATTAAATAACCAGCCTCTGTAGTCTATAAAGAATAATACACTAAAACCACAACAGTTTTGTAGAAAGCAAGTTTTTTTCTGAATCTTTCTATATAAATGAAGGAAGCATATATTTTATTTCAGTTATATGATATAGGAGAAGGGCTGAAGCCTATTGGTCCCCATGCCAGCATAACAGTCCTCTGACCAAAGAGCAAATATATTCTCTCTCTCTCTCATGGAGGAAAAAGAAAAGCTACAACTCAGAAACCTTTGTGGTCTGCATGTATGCCTGCACCCATGCATATCTACAAATTCTAATTTCAGGAATTTTAATTCCAAATTACTATATATATCTTTGATATTGTGATGGAATGG